ATCAACGACGGCCCCGCGATCCCCGTGACTCTCGCGACTCACGACCTCACCAATATTATTGCAAAAAATGCAAATTATTTGGTCACTCAACCAAACGTTGCCGATCCGAGCCACGACACGACTCCGCACCGCGCAACAACGCAATTCCCAGCCTCGATTACTCGCGCCAGGCAAACCGACCGACTTCGAACCATCGGCTTGGCCCGCGCCAACCATCTCATCCTGACGCGCCCATGACTCCATACACCAACAACAATCGCCACGTCTCGGCAATATGGCGATGCGCATTCACCGTCGCATACGGCGAACAACCCGTCAGCACCTGCGCCACGTCTCTCCTCCCCCACCTAGCCGTGAGGTTAAATTCTCCAGTTACAACATTCCCTTCACGCAGGACAGAGAGTTTGTCTCTGACGAGCGCGAACAGGACTGGGATCTGCCAACCCCCCTGCTCGAATCGCCGCCGCACGATGAGGATTTCATCAACTCTCCATTTATTGATAGCTACTTTTATGCTCACTACATCAACACTCGTCTCGTTGACAACTACCGCTGGGCCGGCGACAAGCGCATCCCCTTCCGCAACACACCCAGCCTCGCGTTCTCGCCTCAGACCAGCACCAACACGTACAATACCTGGTACCTTGACAGCTGCTGTGGGCAACATATGGTCGGCTCCAAGCGCTTCATATCCAAGACACGCCCCATCTCGCAGCCCACTGTCGTCACAGTGGCCAATAGCCAGCAACTTAAAGCACGCGCGTGCGGCATCGTCGTGCTCAAAGCACGAGACAGCGACATTCACCTCACTCTGAACGACGTACTCATCGTACGGGACCTAAAGTACAACCTACTCTTCTACGAGCAACTCGTCCCTAGCAGCGTCCTCATGAGCACAGACCCATAGAGCCGGTGCATCCTCATGCATTGGAAAGACTACAGCAAAAGTGAGAGCAAGCCGCGTTACATAGGCAAGGCGTTCCCAGACAACGGCGTCTACATCCTACATTTTGACATCTCAGATTGACGCGCCGACTCTGGAGATCTCATTGACCTACAACCCCCAGCGCGCCGTCTGGCCCCACGAACTCGCCCACCCTAATGGTTGTCCCTGGGTGAAGCATCATGCTCACCCTAGAGAAATCGACCTGCACGCACCTGGGCCTGATGGCCTATGCCGCAACTGCCGCACGCCAACAGCCTCTACCACGGAGGAGAAAACTACCAAGGGGAAGGCGCCAACTGATCAAGAGGGAACGTCAGGCACTTGAGAGAAACATAGAGCAACTGCTAAGAAAAGGGGAAAGCCAAAGTCAACGAAGACAAGGAGGCAGACGCGGCAGAGACACCTGAGGAACCAGAATCAGAGGAATAGTCATCCATCCCCCTGGACATTGTTGAGGAAGCAGAATAGCAAACTCTGCATCCCACAGGCATGCGACACCACGATGAACTTGTTGCAGTCCTTACCATTCATCAGCAACGTCACCATCTCACTTATCCCACAGTCCACGATCGACTCCACCTCTTAACTCGTTATAAGGGACCTGGAACATTTGACGCCAACAACAAACCCCTCCCTCTGGACTGGGAAACTTACCATGTCACTCGCCCCTGGTCTCGCCACACCATGACTTCTGACGAACTTTAACGACAAGAGGAAGAGGAGGACCGCCGCCGCCGCGTAGCAGCAGCAGCCGCCACCCCTCCTGGCTGGGGTACAGGCACTGGCGCAGCGGCATGGGGAAAGATGGCAGCAACCACCACCGGATTGGGAGCAGGAGGCATCACCGCAGTTGGACAATGGGGGGCTACTCAGGACAAGGAAGAGGAGCCAATAGAAGACACCATCGCCCGCACAAAGAAAGAGGTAGCAGAGGAATCTGTTAGGCCCTATGGGTCCCCAAAACCCATCGGCATCCCCCCAGGAAACTCGTTCTCCAGTGATTCCTGGGCCTCCACCAAGTCCTCACATCCCCCCTCTAACCATGACACCATTCTACCGTACAGTCGCTACCCACACAGCCCACTGCCATCTGAATCCACTCCCATCGGCCCCCATGACCCTGCCACCGCTGACCCTTCCACCATCCAAGGTCTGCCACCACACCACATCCCACGTCCCCACCTCACAGAAGGCACAGCTGACACACACGATACCACAACCCTGCTTGCTGCTCTCACCACAGTATCCCCAGACCCACAGCTCACAGCTCGTGACTTAATCCTCGCTCTTGGCCTCTCCGTGTCACCACGGCCTCTCCCATAGCCTCCACCAACCAACACACCTGAACTGCTCGCCTTTTTCGCCCGCTCGCCCGCACTCCGCGCACCCCCTGACCTCTGGCACAGGCGTCTCGGTCACCCCTCTCACGAGGTACTCAATAACTGCATCCACGCCAACGTTTTTCTTCTTGGCACGCTGCTCCGCCCCGACGGTACCCCCCTCACAGTTGGCACCAATCGCTACACAATCTGCCCTAAAGCCGCAGTGAACCACAAGCCCTTCAAGCTCCTCCAGCTGAGAATGGACCGCTACACCAAACTTCAGAAAGTTTACAGCGACTTCCTTGTCCTCACCCAGACAGGCATCAACGGCGAAGAATACACTCTTACCTTCGTCGAAGCCAACTCTCGCTTCGTCTGGGTGGCCAATGTCTCTCACCGGAGCAAGGCATATGACATCTTCAAAATCTGGCACAGCAACGCCGAAACTCAGTCCGGCTGCAAGCTCAAGCTTTGGCAAACCGAATGCGCAGCCGAGTTCAAGAGCGACAAGTTGGCAGCATACCTGCAGGACAAGGGAATCGTTCACAAGCTCTCCCCTACGCACACCCATAAGAAGGAGTAGCCAAGCGAACCAACTGCACCCTGATAACCAAGGTTCCCACCCTCCTGCAGTAGAGCAACGTCGACGCGAAGTACTGGCCCTTTGCCATGCATCACGCCGTCCGTCTTCACAACCTGCTTAGCACCACGGCCAACACCGATCATCTGTCACCGTACGTCAAATTGACGAGCAAGAAAGGTGACATCTCCATGCTACGCGCGTGGGGCTGCATGGTGCAGTATCGGCCCGCAACGGTGAACACCAGTAACTTCGAGCGTCGCGCACGCTGGGGAGTTCATCTTGGCATCAGCTTCGAACATCACGCCTGGAACATCCCCGACCATGATACCTCTTGGGTGGTCGCAGCGCGCGACATTATCTTCTACGAAGACCTCACCATCCGCACCTTTCAGAGCGATCGCTACGCCGACAGACTCAGGGTCAACGGTCAAACTAATCGCGTTGCCCGCTACGAGCGCCCTCCCCGCAGTTTCGCAACTCCCGCCGACGAAGCCAAAGACTCGCTCGCAGACCAAGACCCAACGGACCCCCACCCAAGACCGCGTCCGTGGAGCGATGAGGACGAGGACGGGGGCAATGTTCCCCTTGACTCCTCTCATGACTCCCTGCTCAGCCCCACCCCATCTTCCGCTCACGACTTCGACGACGATGTGGTGGATGACACTAGCGAGCAGCAGCACAGCCCTGGCCTTTCCGGACTCCACATCCTCGGCCTTCACACCGCTGTCTCCCACCCGCCAAAAGCGGTCGAACCCAAAACCCCACGCCAAGCTCTAACCAGCCCCTACAGCAACGAATGGCGTGCGGCCATGGATGCCGAAGTCGCCGCACTTGAAGCTCGCGAAGCCTGGGTTCTCACTTACCGCGCAGCGCTGAAGGGGAGACGCGTCCTCTTGGGCAAGTAGGTCTTCCTCATCAAAACCGCTGCTGACAGAACCATTGAGCATTTCAATGCCCGCTGGGTCATGCGTGGTTTCGACCAACGTCACTGCATCGATTTCGACCAAACCTTTGCTCCCGCCAGCCGCCACACGTCCGTCCGCATCCTCCTTGCCATCGCAGCAGCCAAGCATCTTCCGCTCCGCCAGATCGACGTAAAAAACGCCTTCCTCTACGCCCCCGTCGACGCACTCATCTTCCTCAAGGAACCTCACACCTACGGCGAAGGCGACGACCGCGTGTGTCAACTCAATAATTCACTCTACGGCATCAAGAAATCACCGCGCCTCTAGCAACAACACCTCCACCAAATCCTTCACGACATCGGCTTCACCCAACTGCCTCACGATCCCGGCATGTATCGCCTTCACTTCCGCGGAAATTACATTCTTCTCGCAGTGTACGTGGACGATCTCCTCTACACCGGCACCAACAACGAGCTTCTCGCGGAGTTTGAGAAGAATCTCAGAAACCACGTTGAAATCACCAGCACCGACCACGTGACCCAGTTCCTGGGCCTCAACATCTCCTACGCAGCAGACGCCATTCAGCTCTCCGCGGCCAGGTACGAAGAAATTATGTCTGCCAAATTCCACATCAAGCCTGCACACCTTGCCACCCCTTACCGCTCCCCAACCACCACCGACACTCCCAACACAACCCCACTCAACCCATCCAACCACCAACTATACCAGTAGTAGCTCGGCTGCCTTCTCTTTGCTGCAGTCATATGCAGGCTTGACTTGTCCTACATCTCGAGCCAACTCGCCCAATATTCCAAGAGGCCTGAAGGGGAGAATATGCTGGTCCAGTAGCGCGTTTTGCAGTACTTCATCTCCACACCACACATCGGCCTCACCTACTCCACTCTCACGATGCGCCTTCAGCCTCGTTGGATACATGGACGGTGATCACGCCGCCGACCCTGCAAATCGACGGTCCCGAACCAGCTTTCTCTTTCGCCTCGAACAGAGCTGTCGATTCGTTTTGGAGCCCACGGACAAATCAGGGGGCCTGCCATGTGCGACCCTGTATCTAGCAGGGTCAGGGCAAATTTCGGCCCTTTAGGCTTCAGCGCTGAAAAAAAATCCTCCCTTTGAATCAGGTTTGGTGCGGCAAATTCTGCTGCCTCGTTTTAACACAAACACAATGCCTACAGCTACAAACTACAAGCTAACACTACATAAAAAAACGATTTAGCATCATTTCCCTATGCACGCTTAGCAAGCTTCCTAGCCCTAGCAGCACTGAAGATCTTGTGCAATTCTACCCACTCCACAGGATAGTCTAGCATCTTCACAGTCATCAGCTGATCTAGCTCAACATCACTAAGAGTAGTCCTGTCCCATGATTTAATGATGTTCTGCCTGCTGAAGCCCCTTTCGCACTCAACAGTGCTAAGGGGCAGGACAGCAAGTCCACACCACAAGTGCACGAGGGTGGGGTAATCATCCCTCCAGTCTGAGGTGCGTAGCACGTTAGTGAGGGCTTGCTGGAAAGTCATGTCCTTGAACTTCTTGAACATTGTTGCAGCAAAGAGCTCCAACTCCAGCTGACACGCCTTGTACGTGATACCTGCGGGTGGTGGGGTGGGCGTAGGAGAAATAAGTGAAACAATGAAGCACCTATGGTAATAACACTGATGGGTGTAATATAAATACAGGATCATTTGCATTCTTACGTACTGGGCAGCTTCTCCTTGAACATGTCAAGGAGTTTGTACAGGTGGGCGTTGAGCCAGGCTTCACGATCAGCAAGCCGCAGGGGGTAGTGGTTTGGCATGAAGAGTTTTTCCCCGTCAAAATGCTTCAGGTCGCCAAGCCGGTAGTCCAGCTTTGCGATCAACTCCTGCGCAAACTGCTGCCCCAGCTTGATGCACAATTCCAGGTTCGTCCCCATGCCTTCTCCGATGGGGTGTTCATGCAGCACGTCCTTGACGGTGCACGCGTTCTCTTGCTTGTCGAGGCCGTGGATGGTGATCTCGTGCTTGTCAGGGCTGCCGTGCTTCTCGAGAAAAGCGTGCAAGTGCTTGCTCTTCGCGGTCCCATAGTCTGCGCGCTTCTCCACGTAACGTTGCGCCAGCTTCAGCTTCAGTTTATCGACGAGGAGCTTCACCTCGTCGATGTCCACCTGCTCATGAGCCAAGGAAGGAAAGTTAATAAAGAGCTCTTAACACAATGTATAAACATAGGACATGATGCAAACTTACCACCAGCTTCTGAAACGCCATGTTGAGGGTGTTGAGCATCTCCAGCACGTCGGCGAGGAAGAAGAGCATGAACTGAAACTTGAAACTTGTGCCGATCTTGTATGCGGCTTGGTCCTCTTTGTGCCAAACCCAGAAGAGGATTGGCAGCACTTCGCTAAACCGCGCCACTGCATCCCCACATGAAAGCCAACGCACGTTGAAAATGCCTTGGACTTCCAGTTGGGTTTTCAGAACCACATCCTGCAGCTCCATGAAGGCATCTCTGGAGATGCTGGAGCGGCCGATGTTCTCAGCAGTCTTGCGAATCTGTGAGTCAATGATGTTGAAATCAGGGAACTTCTTGGCAGCATCCTTTACTGCCAACGCCTCCCTGTGACACGGGTACTAGTGAAACATGAGTTAAAAAATAGCAACCAGAGATGAAGGCTGATCAAGGAACATAAAAAAACAAGCATTCTGACTCACCGGTGTGCCACGCAGTGCACAGCAACGAGCCACGGGCAGCGCTGCATTAAACGGCCCACAAAATCCCTTCTTCCTTCCCACCATAACCTTGGCACCATCCATGGACACACCCACAAACTTGTCCAAGGACAAGCCTTTGTCGTCAAGATGACGGATGCGTACAGCGAGGCGCCATCGGCTTTGTCGACTGGTATGTTTCCAAAAAAACTGCACCTCCGTTTGCTCGTTGCGCTCGAAGTGCACATACATGATCATGTGCTTGCCGTGCGCGCGGTCCGTGCTCTCATCGAACGAGAGCCCGAACCATGGCGAGGCTTTAACGTTTGCCAACTGGCGCCCTTGGAGGTAGCTTGCGAGCGCCGAAACGAACTCGCCGAAGGCGTATCTGCTAAGGAGCAAAAGCGGATTGTTAGATTGTAAAATGGTAACAAGCAGAAATAACCTCGCATTACCTTGAGTAGTATCGCCCGTATGCCTCTTCATTGGTCATGTCTGGGCAGCCCTGCTCAGCCATGAACTTAACAAGAAGCGTGTAAAGCATGATTGGTGCATTATTTCGAGAACACCAGTAAGCTGCCTGAAGACATTTCACCACCCTGCGGGTCAGCGGCTCAGCGCTCAGGAGTTCCAAGATACTGTGCTGTTGCCTCTCGGTGCCCTCAGCAATCTGCTCGGCTACCACAGCAGCAAGGTGTAGCTTCGTGTATTCATGGCCTCTGAGGCTCCCCACCTGAAAATTGCGCGCTCCGATGCGAAGAGGTCCAAACGGAGAATTACTGTTCTTGGCATGGGCTTTGCAGATGGTACACTTCTACTATACCTCTGTTGCTTGCCGTCGTACTCAAGCACCAGCCACTTGAACGTTTGCTTCCACCCAGCATTCCACTTCTCAACCAGTTTCTTCTCTGGCGCAGGGACATCCTTGCGTTCCGCGGCATTATCCACAGCTGGAGTGGCCTTGTCGTCTACTGTCGATACCTTCCTCGAGCGCTTACAAGGAGGAAGGTGTGGTCCCGACCACGTCAGTCGCGTCTGACACATGCGCTGGCCGGGAGTGGAAGAAGCTTCACTAGCACGACGAGACACATGATCGACTTGCTGCACTTCGACCTCGTGGAAATTCTCGTTTGCGCCATCACCAATAGCCTCGTTCTCACTATCAAAATCGAAGGCGATGGGCCTTTCAGAGTGGGCAGGGGAGTTGAAAACTCGGGGTACTGGGACGGTTGATGCTGTACGTGCCTCAACTTCGTCATCACTAGAAAAATCCATTTCTCGTAGGGCTGCCATGATGCGTAACTGTGAAACATGGGCTCTAAAATAGGCAGTGCCTAGTGTGAGAGCACGAAGGGATGGATGGATCGTCTAAGAGATTAGAGGAGAAAGTTGAGGGAGGGAAGGCTGGCATGGCACGTTCTCTCTCTCTACTTGTCTCGTCGTATCGTCGTGGAGTTCGAGGGCACTGCACGACGGGGATCTAAGAGGTGTTTTGGAGCTGCTATGCTGATTCATGCTGGCACACTGCACGACAGGCTATGCACGGGGATCTGAGATGTGTTTTGCTGCTGCTATGCTGATTCGTGCTAAGGACTGTGTGTCCCTTCCCATGGCAAGAAAGCGAAGTTGTGATTGGCGCAAGCACAAGTTTTGGGTGGACTTGAATTCGTGGCCCACCCACGAGTCTGCAAATTTGCCAGGTTGGATTCAACTAGCGTAGAAACGAGGGGGAGGGGGGAGTGTAGGAGTTGGGAGGGGTGGGGTGGGCTCGAAAGATTCTGTTCCAGAGCTCACTTAAAATCAACCCTTTACACACCAGGACTACACCCAAAATCAGCCCTGTAAGGAATAAGGGCCGAAAAAATTCCAACCCATCAATTTTAGCTTTCAAGGGCAACCCAGTCCTTGAATTCGAGGTTCAGCAGGGCAAACGCCCTGCAATCAATAGCCCTGCCCTCGAACCTACCGGACCGATTTCCTGGAAATCAAAGAAACAGGAAATGGTGACGCTCTCCTTCGCTGAAGCCGAATTCATCGCTGCCACATCAGCTGTGCGCGAAGGACTTTACCTCCAGAAGTTGCTCCATGAGGCAAAAATGTCTAGAGAACTGTGCAGGAAAGGTTGGATTAGCAAGAGTTGGGGTACAAGTACTAACCCTAGAAGTACTGTACCCCATAAGGAGTGCCCCACTATAGCCTACAAGTAAGATTGTACTTTGACACACCCCCATATGCTAACTGGGGGACAACAAGACGGTCACAAGACCAGTCAAGCAAGACAACAGAGCAAAGCAAAGCTCAAGGTGGATCTCAAGGACACCACACAATCTGAGCACAAGCAAGCGGCCACAAGGCCAGTTCACATGCAGAGTTATAATAGCAAGGAAGTACACTAATCACAACCTAGCAAGAGTAAACAAGCAGGTATAAAGATATATATCAGTGTACAACAAGGGCAAGTCAAGCAACCAGCAGGTGAGGCAGAGTGGGCACAAGCCCAAGAGCAGTACAGAAACGCTGATGCTCACCAGACCCAAGGGCCTTGGTGAACAATTCAGCAATGTTGGCCCGCAAGGCCATGTAGGAAAGGCAGAGCTGACGATGTTGTTGCAACTCACGCGCAAGGAAGTAGCGAAGAGCAACGTGCTTCGTTCTGTACTCAAGTCTCTGCTCGTGACACAAGGCAAGCATTGCCTTGTTGTCGACGTAGAGAACTGGAGGAGAACAAGGCCGCTCCCCCAAGTCGGTCTGCAGGTAGGTCAGCCAGCGTAGCTCCTGTGCAGCCATGGCCCCAGCGTAGATCTCGGCCTCACAGCTGGAACTAAGCACAGAAGAAGAACGAGTGGACCTCCACGAGACAGAACCAGAGCCAAGACTGAAGGTGTAACCCTGTGACGAATGCTGAGTTGCCTGGTCGTCGGCCCAAGAAGCGTCGGAGTGTCCTGTGAGTACCACTGAACCTGTCCTCCGAGCACTAGTCCCATGCCCGATGTAGTGCACAAGTAACGCAGTACCCTCTTTGCAGCATCCCAGTGCACCTTTCGGTGTCTACCGGGAGCCACGTAGCGAGCCAGGAGGCTGAGAGGGTAGGCGAGGTCAGGTCGTGTGCACGTCATCAAGTACATGAGGCAACCCACAAGCTCTGGGTACGGACCACTCGGCTCTACGGACTCGTCCGAAGGTGGAGCTGAGAGCGAGTGGCCGGTAGACAAAGGAGTGGGCTGTGGCGAGGAGAACTAGAAGGCGAAGCACTGAAGGACCTGGTGCACCATGTGTGACTGAGTCGGGGTGATGGTGCGCCGTGCTTTGTCTCGGGTGATCTGCAAGTCAAGATAGCTACGCAGCTCACCCAGGTCAGTGCAGGTGTGTCTCTCCTGCAGCTCCGCCTTCACTAGGGCCAGTGCCTCAGTGTCCGCAGTAGCAAAAACCAAGTCGTCGGCGTACACTAGAACGTAGAATGGCAGCAGGGTAGTGTCGGTGCGTAGAAACAGCGACGGGTCAGCGGAGGAAGGAGCAAACCCAAGAGCCGCAAGTGTAGTCCTCAGTGTGTCGTGCCACTCTCGAGGCGCCTGGCGGAGACCGTAGACTGGCCGCCGGAGGCTCCACTGGGTACCCGCAAGAAACAACCCAGTGAAGCCGGGTGGGCGGCGCAGCCAGATCTCCTCGTGAAGGCTACCCTGCAGGAAAGCTGTGGAGAAGTCGAGGGAGTGCAGCTCGTAGTCACACTGTGCTGCAACGTGCAGCAGCACCCGAAGAGTAGTTATCTTTGGGGTGGGGGAGAAGGTCTGGAAGAAGTCGACCCCCTGTCGCTGACTGAAGCCAAGAGCAACGTAACGTGCCTTGAGGGCAGGCAGAGAACCCGGCGGCCGCTTCACTCTGAAAATCCACATGCCATCGACTATGTTCGCCCCAGGAGGAGGAACCTCGTCGACGTAGGTGCCTGTGGACTTCCATGAAGCCATCTCTGCGTCCATGGCTGTCTGCCACTGAGAGGAGTACTCACCCGCGATCGCCTCAGCGTAAGAGCGCAGGGTAGGGATGTCAAGTGCATTCGGGTCTCCCTCAGGGCAAAGCAGCATGGATGCGAAACGAGGTAAAGCGGCCGCAAGACACTCAAGCTCAAAATGTATGTCCTCAAGTACGTCACTGCTAAGGGCAAGCTTACCCCCGACGGACAGAGGACAGACAGACTCAGACTCAGTGACAAGACTCGTGACATAGTCAAGACGACTCCTAGCTGCAAAGTCGACTAGCTCAGTGACTAGGGCAAACGCTGTAGTAGACTCAAGGTCAGGGTCAGTGACGACAGTAGCGAGGAGACAAGTGACAGTAGGACTGGCAGCACGAGCAATGTCAGACTCAGGGTCAGGAACGTGCGGAAGAGAGGACGCGGGAGGCTCAGGCAGGACAACACGCTGTGGAACAGAGGAAGGACGAAGTGCCATACCGTGAGTGCATGGGATAGCAGGAGGACGATGACGGGTGACACGACGAGCACAAACAAGTGTGGAAGCACGAGTCTCAGGCTCACGACGCTCAGTCAGGGACTCAGTTACCTTAGTGTGAGGAGCAGGCGCAGGCAGCGGGGAGCCAGCTATGGCTGAGACTGGTCTGTCGGTGAACACAGGAGGGGTAGAGGGAGGCCAGTGGAAGACGGGAGACTAAGAACCTGGCGAAGGACCGAGTCAGGCGGCGGCAGGGACGACTGCGGCTGCGGGTAGAAAAACGGTCTGCACAGGGCAGTACCAGCAGCTCCAGCTCCTCCAGCACCAGCAGCACCAGCACCTCCAGCACCAGTAGCTCCAACATCACCTCCAGCACCAGCAGCACCACTAGCTCCGGTAGCGCCAGGACCTCTAGTACCAGTAGTACCTCCAGCACCTCCAGTGCCAGGAGCTCCAGTAGCACCTCCAGCACCTCCACCACCAGCAGCACCAGCAGCACCACCTGCTCCAGTAGCTTCAGTACCTCTAGTACGAGCACCTCTAGGACTAGCAGCTCCAGTACCTCCAGTACCTCCAGCACCAGCAGTACCTCTAGCACCTCCAGCACAAACAACACCACTAGCTCCGGCAGCTCCAGCACCTCCAGTACGAGCACCTCCAGGACCAGCAGCTCCAGCACCTCCAGTACCTCCAGCTCCAGTGCCTCTAGCACCAGCTGCACCTCCAGCACCTCCAGCACCAGCTGTACCTCCAGCACCAGCTCTACCTCCAGCTCCGGCACCTCCAGCACCAGCAGCACCTCTAGTACCTCCAGCAGGGACAGTACCTCCAGGACGAGCAGCTCCAGCACCAGCAGGACCATACCCTCCACCACCAGACTGCCTCGCCGAACGATCCACGCACGAATCGCCTGCGGCGAGAGTGTCTCAAGTAGGTCAGGCTGCAGTGGCTTTCCAGCTCCAGGACCTCCAGTAGGGTCACCCACAGCTCCACCGCCACTAGGACGCGCAAGACCCCCAGAGTCAGCACCCCCAGTCGCAGCACCCCAAGAACCAGCACCCCCAGTCGCAGCACCCCCAGAACCCTCACCCTTTGTCTCAGCACCCCCAAGCTCAGCACCAGCAGTCTCAGCTCCAGAGTCCACAGCAGCAGGCTGCGGAGGCGGCGAAGACAGCCGAAGCGGAAAACCAGGGGGGGTCTCCAAGCGTGGAGAGCAGCGAGTGGCTGCTGTGTCGTCAGCGGCAGGGTCACCCCCCTCAGCTGGGCCAGAGGAGTCAGAAGAGATCTCCAAAGGCTCAACCAAGGGGGGTGGGTCTACCTGAGACACACCTGAGGGAGCAAGACCCT